ACCAGGGTTCCCAGTGGCACCACATAATTCTTTTTTCAACCAGCACCCAAGTTGATGCTCCCGAAACCCTTACCAGTGTCAATGGATCCCCAGTTGGTGATGGTGTTCCCCCAAGCCTCAATGCCATTTCCTCTACAGTTGAAGTTGGACATTTTTCTACACTTGAAACTTGAAGCAAAGTTTGTTTATTTATCTTTTGTGTTTTCTTTGATGAATATTGGCTATCATGCTCGAGTTCTTATATAGCCAAGTTAAGACAAAAAATAATGCAATAGTGGAAGCAAGCACTAGATTCTGTCACAATAGATCATATAGAAATATGGAGACATCGCGTGTCCACAGTTTCCACGGGTTAGAGAGGACACATTTTGTCATTTTGGTGGGGTCTGTATATATTCTCAGGTCTTGGTATTATTGTATGATTTTAATATAAAAAAATGATTGGTACAGCCTCTAGTTTAACAAATCTAGTAATACCCATTGATTCAGTAATTAAAATTTACCCTTGAAAATTTTCTTGCCTTAAATTCAAATTTAAAAATATTAGTTTTTTAATGATTGAACCGATAAATATTGTTAAGTGTGTTAAACTAAAGGGTGCACCAATTAATCATTATCCTTTTAATATAAACCACGCTAATATATATATATATATATATCTTAGGAGGTTGGCAATATGATTCAAAGAAACCAATGATGTAGACGAAAGCAACACACCAATGCATCAAGTCAAGGTTGTCAAAATTGAGAGTTTACACAAAATCATTTTGGTTAGATAAAATTGGAATTGTAAAATTAAATTGATAAAATTGAGAGTTTACTAAATTTAATATATATTATATAATAAATTAATAAAACTAAAATTAAACAATAATAAATCAAATTTAGAGTTAGAAACTTGGAATTAGCTAATTAAAATCTAAATATCTAATAACACAAACAAATAAATTAATTTAACATAAGCAGCATCCATCCATCAAAAGCAACTTTCTTTTCATGCGCTTAAGTAGTGAGTAGTGGCATTGCAACAGTTCAATCTCTCCCTCCCCTACGGCAAACCCTAAAGTAAAGAACATCAGAGATAAAATTTATGTCTAGATTTTTGGAAGCCTCTTCTTCAATCTTCATTTGTTATCTTGTGGGTTGTGGCCTATGGGCATTTCAAATGACAAATGGGTTGAATTTATAGGTTGTCTGGTCAAAGCCCATTAGCCCAAGATGAGAAGACACAAGAGGAAATGGCCCAGCTACTTAATTGAAAGTAAAATAGAGATTTCAAATGATTTTACCATGAAGTCATGATTTTACAAATTTACCCTTATGTTTTTATGGAATTCCGATTTTAACATAAATTTTACTTGAAATGCATATCTAAAATTGTAAAATCATACAATTTTACAATTTAAAGCGCAATTTTGATAACCATGAAGCAGGCCAAAAGAAACACTGCCCTACTGAAGAGACTAAAAAAGCAAGATATCTTGATGTACGTGAGCAGAGCTGGAGGGACTACTTAATTTGCTTAATTCTTAATTTTAGGATTTGTAGTTTTTGTTACACTTTTGTGGTTGTAAAGTCCTTGGAGGTGTCCAAGGCAATTAGTAACCCATTTTGTAGAACTTCACCCTTAGTTTTGCAACATTGTTTGGGGCACAGTTTATTCATAGATGGTTTTTCCAACCATCTTTTGGGAGGTCAACCGTTGGAAAGGAGAAGGTCATTTGAAAAATCTTATTTTCTTGTTTTTAGACGAAACAAGTGGCACGCCTAACTCTTAAGCTCACGTGGTTGAGGCTGGCTAAGGATTTTTGGGGAAACAAGTATCATCAAGAAGAACAGAGGTGCAATAGAGATATGGAATTTCTTGGAGGATATTGGGGCGGTTGATAAAGGCAATGAGGCAGAGGTAATTATGCGACTTGAGGAGATGAAGCATTGAGGCACAACAAGGAAGAAACAAGTAAAGCCAATAGCTAGGAGCATGGATGGGAATTCAGGTAAGCATCAATGATTTTATTATCTTTGAATGTTCATGGATTAAGGAAGAGGAAAGAATTGTGTAAGCTAATTAGAAAAGAGAAGGTAGAATTCTTGATGTTGTAAGAAACAAATGCGGAAAGTGTAGATGACAGGTTATGTGAATCTATTTGGGGATTAAAAGAGTTCAAGTAGGCATTTAAACCAGAATAGGGTAGATCTGGTGGCCTACTGTGTATTTGGAACAAGAAGAGTTTTAAGTTGAATAGTATCTTTTATGGCAAACAGTGGGTTATGGGGAGTAAATGAAATACCTTGCTATGTGGTTAATGTTTACTTAGGTTGTGATTTAGCTAGTAAAAGAATTTTGTGGGCAAAGTTAAAAGATCAATTTAACAACATGACAAGAAATTGGTGTATCGACGAAGACTTTAATGCTGTAAGATGTAATGAGGAAAGAAAATGTGCCACTAGAGCAATGAATGAAATAAGGGAATTCAACGGTTTTATTGAGGAGTTGGGATTAATTGATTTCCCTTTAATTGGTAGAAAGTTTACTCGGTATCATCCTAACGGGGTAGCAATGAGCAAATTAGATCGATTTTTAGTGTTTGAAGAATGGTTGATGAATTGGGGGGACCTAAAACAATGGGGTTTGCAGAGGTTAATTTCTTATCATTGCCCCGTAATTTTAAAGAATGAGAAACAAGATTGGGGCCCAAAACCGTTTTGTTGCTTTGAGGCATGGGTACAGCATCTAGACTTCTTAAAAGTGTGTAGTGCAGCATGGAAAGCAAGTGAAATATAAGGGTGTGCTAGTTATATAATGAAGGAGAAATTAAAACATGTAAAAAAAATCCTTAAGGTGTGGAGTAAGGAACAATTTGGGGAGATGGATAGTAGAATTGAGAAACTGAAGAGTGACATTGACAGATTGGATACTAAAGGCGAGGTGGATTAGTTATCT